AAACTATAATAACGAGGATAATACACATATTGATAATTACTTAATTCGAATTTATTGTGATTGCTGATAAACGTTATTTTGGGAGACGAAACTATATACCAATATAAAAAAGAGTTGGTTGAATAATACCACCAAATAAGATTTCAACTTCAACATAACTGACACTCGAAACAGAAGATAGACAAACTCTTGGTGGTTGGACTATATCGTGACTTAAAAACATTGAAAATCACAAGTTGGAAAGACGAGATAGACTAATGATGACTGAAGAAATATCATATTTTAACTTACCTAATTCAATACAATTCTTTGTTCAAAGCTTAATATAATCAGGGATCTGTTTAGAAGAAATTTGGAAATTTGGGTAATCTTTTAATCGGACCCTTCACAAATTTGTTTATCTTCATTATTGTTTTGTTAATCGATTAAATCCTTCCTGGGGGGGGGGAAGAAAGACGGGAAACTAAGTTTTCCAAGTTTCCCTAAGTTTAAATTCCAAATGTAGTATTCTAAGAAAATATTTCTACTTTTACAAACATCGTGTGCACATTCTTTTTTATATTAAATAATAATTTTTTTTCGGAAATAAATATTTGATCAATATTGATTCATAAAATTACATAATAGAATAAAATGTAAATAAAAACTAATTTCTGACAATTTTTTAAATAAAATATTATAAAATTAAGAATTGTTTAAATTTACTTAATGCGTAACACATTAAAAGTGATACATTACTAAGTTGTGTTATTTAAAGTTGTGTTATAGTCAATTGAAATTATTTAAAGTGTGAGGGATTTTGCTTCCATTATTCGTCCGAAATGAATATTCTGTGTTGAGCAGTATAGGCTAAATACCAATTATTTGTATGTTGCATCTCTAATTTAGTAGCAGCAATCTTGTATCTATTTACAATTTACAAACTTCTTGAAAAGGGTTTTAGCAATTTTTGCGATAACAGGACTTTATTTGCGCAAATTCCCAAAAGCAGGACCCTGGTTGAAAGAATGTGACAATGCTTATTTTATATTCACAAATTAGGAGTAGTTTTTTCTCACAATTTTACAAAAACAGGACCTTTCACAAAATGTCTGGGCAGACCCCTGATAATACAAATTGAAAACTGATTAAGTAAATCATCATAAAATATTCAATTAGATTAAAGAAATGTGAGATTTTTGTATAAAGCTTAAAAATTATCTAGTTAAATAAAAAAAAGTACAGGGAACTTTTCAAATTAACCTGATGAATTAGAAAACGACAGTGAAATTCACTAACAGCGGAGTTCTTCTACAACGTAAACACAAAATATCTAAATAAATTCATTAAACCTAAACCGTGAAAAAATTGCAGTCAGATATAACTTTGAACTATAAAATTGAATATTTTTATTAGGACATAGAAAATATTTCTACCCGCATCTATGGTAAAATCATAAATCTTTTCCTACTGGACGATACATAAAAAAAAAACTCCTCAACTCAACATCGATGGAAAAAGCAAACGATCTTTTGACCTTTTGAGAAGTTACTTTCTCCTGAAAACGCTGATAACAGTTCCCTGGGGAACGATGATAAAATATTATTTTCCTCATGCCCATAATCCTTTATTTAGAATATTACGCTTTTCATTAACCCATCTCTAATTTATTTTATTGAATGTGGGGATCTTTATGAAAATAAATTGATTAAATTTGCATACGACTTTCTTTGAAAAAATTTTTATTTACATCTATAATAAATTACTATATTTTAATTAAAATTTTTTTAGTAATATAAATTACTTCGTGTCGTTATAGAAAAAGTCACAAATTTTATGCAAGAGCATATACTTATTTATAACGACATCGTATTATTTAATTAGCTTTATGAATCAGAGCTTTTTTTTTCCTAAATGCATTGTTTATGAGTAATTATGATCACATAGTAATATATATTAGAAATATAGTTTTTTTGATATAGTTAGTTACAATTTATTTTTCTAATTATATCTGTTTTTCTTAACATGAAAAAAAATTATCTTTTCAAGATTTCATTTTTTTTTAATAAAAATAAATAATTTAAATGCTAATCTTTTTTTATATATTTATACAGTCCCTGGCCAAATTAATAGACCCATCATAAGATTCTATATAAAATCTTTATTATCAGTTGATACTATACAGCTTTATTGTTTTAACGTGACCGAAACCGGTTTGTACTTGTTTACATTCGTGTATCAATTGGTTAAATTAGACGATATATAATATAAATTCGACGATAGGATAAATTAGACGATATATTATATAAATATAGAATATTTATTATATCAGGTATTATACTAGTATATTATAATAATTAGACTAAATTATTGGACGTACTGTAGTTTTTTAATAATGACATGTTTTGCACGAGTTTATGGGCAATACTCTTATGTTTGAACCTCTATATAATGGGTTTTTATTTAGGAGATTTTTTACATACTTCGTATTTGTATTTATTTTTAAGGTATTGCATTACAATGTTAACCTATCGATACACTAACATAAACAAGTACAAACCGGTTTCAGCCACTTATAAACAATAAAGTTGTAAAGTATCACCTCACAATTAAGATTTTACATAGAATCTTATATTTTGTCTAATAATTTGGCCAGGTACTGTAGTCCAATCGTGATTCAAAAATTTCAACATTCTATTTATATTCTTGTTCGATAAATTCTTATATTACTCTTATATTCTTGATTAAAAAAATCTAATTGTACTTTTATATTTTTGATTAATAAATTTTTACATATACTATTTGTATACTTCATTAATAAATTCTTATGTTCAGCTTATATTCTTGATTGATAAATTCTTATACTCCGTGTACTCAATAATTCATCAATCAGTCAATAATTCTTATATTCTGTTAATATTATTGATTAATAAATAATTTTTATTTCTGTTTATGCTCTTCATTAATAAATTATTATATTCTGTTTACATTCTTAATTACTAAATTCTTATATTCTGTTTACATTTTTGATTAATAAATTCTTTAATTCTGTTTATATTCTTGACTAATAAATCTAATTTAAAAGGGTATTGATCGTTATTTTTTTAAATTAATGGAAGCGTACATATTAAATATCTGCTAATCTTATGATGTTATTTTAGATTCTGATGATATTTAAAAAGTGCTTGCTTACAAATATCTTTGCAACTTTAATTCTATAACTCAAGGATACAACTTAATTCTGTAACTCTATATTGCTCTTATATTCTTGATTAAAAAAATCCAATTGTACTTTTATATTTTTGATTAATAAATTGTTACGTTTATTATTAATATTCTTGATTAATAAATTCTTATGTTCTGTTTATATTCGTGATTAATAAATTCTTATACTTTGTTTGTATTCTTGATCAGTAATTCTTATATTCTGTTTATATTCTTGATCAGTAAATAATTTTTATTTTCTGTTTATACTCTTGATTATTAAATTCTTATATTCTTGTTTACATTCTTAATTAATAAATTCTTATATTCAGTTTACATTCTTGATTATAGATTCTCATTTTCTGTTCTTGATTAATAAATTCTTTAATTCTGTTTATATTCTTGATTAATAAATCTGATGTGAAAGGATATTGATTACTATTATATCTAATTGATGGAAGAATACATATTAAATATCTGTTAATCTTTTGATGTTACTTTAGGTTCTGACGATATTTAATACTTAAAATGGTTGATTGAAAATTCTGACGATATTTAAAATTCAAAATGGTTGATTGAAAATCGCACGGATAATGTATAAAACTATCACAATTTTAATGGTATCAATTACTGTTCAAAAATAATTGATAGAGTTTTAACCCACCTCTTCAAAGATGTTTAACCCAGTGATAACTCTATTAATGAACAATCAGAATTTGATAAAAAGATGGAAGTTTTTTTATGAAATTGAAAGAGTGGCAATACTGCTGTAGAATGATGCTTTCGATCGTCTGCATTAAAATAGTTTTTTTTTAACCCATTGGCAAAATAGGTGTTGTTTTGGGTTTTAAGGCGTGCGCACTTTATTTGGATGTCATCACACTTTTCAACTCTGTTCAAGAGTAATAGTAAATAGTGCGCATGCGTCGTCATTGCATGCGTTGCTATGGCGACTGCTGCTGTTTGATAATTTTTTTCTTCGTTTTCTTTTCACCAGCAGTCATTCTTAATGTATTTATATAATAATAATTTTAAAGTATTTTTATATTCTTTTTCTTATTAACTTATAATTACTGTCTTGACGATGATTTTAATATAAATATGAATACTGACGAAGGAAAAGTATTTTGTGACGTCTTGAAACACGTATATAGGCAGGATTTGAAAACCAATCCGACGACAAACATCAATTGGGTATAATACAGCCTACGTCACAGGTTGTGTTGTTCCTACTAAATTTAACCCATGAACGGCATTTTCTGCGAGCCTAACTTCAAGCCACAAATAAACAAACGAAGTGTTCGATCGTTTAAATAGCTGCTCGCCAGATTTTATTGCATTATAAAGAAAAGTTATTGAAACTAAATACAACTAAATAAACAACAACAACAACTAAAACAAATAACAACAACTAATAATAACAATAACTAAATAAACAGCAACTAAATTCCATTCGTTTAGCATTGCGTCATATGTTGTTTCTACTAAATCGAAGTAGTTGTGTTTTTTTCATATTATACCCAATTGAGACAGTTTTTGCAACCCATGATTTGAAATGTGGCGTTTGTTGGAGTCAAACTAGAAAAGAAAGAAGAAGAAAAAAAAGAAGAAAAAGCATTTGACCAATGAGTAACCAGTAATCGTAAAAAAGCGATCAAAATTTTTTTTTAAAAAAACTTTTTCTTTTTCTTTTTTTAATATTTATTTCATATTCTCCTATTACATATCATTTTAAATTCACCTTGTTACACTTTGTTGCTTTAGCGGATATATTGTCGGCATGTTATAATTTTTTTTAAAAATAATAGTCGACACTGTACATAAGTCAATATTTTATTGTAAACAAAATTCAATAAAATGTACAGACCAGCTGAAATAAATTCATTTCACAACATGTAAAAGGAACAACATTAAACAATATATTTACAAACATTTTACAAAAAAAAATTGTATCAGCCTTATTACGCAGATATAAATTCTTGACTTTTAAGATAAGCTCAGATGGACTAAAGCGTTTTTTTAAAAGTATGCTTCAACTAAAAACATTGTTTTAATGCATTGTAAGTTGGTAATAAAATAAAGTAACTATTTCTATTGTTCTTTTGTAAAACCCATCACGCTTATTTAACTAAAGTTATTATTTATAACTAAAATTATTATGTATTTTTTTTAGAATGATGTTATTTTTCTTACAATTTAAGTAAATGAGTTGAAGTTTTTCTTATTGAGTTACTTTTACATAGTAAAATATTTAAGACACATAAAAAATGTCGTTGTTAAATTTTTCATTATTTGTTTACTTTATTATAAACAAGGCTTTTTTTAACGACATAGTCTTTAAAAATCGTTATTTATTTCTGATAAATGCAATTTTTTGTTGCTGATTGTTTAACTAAGTGACATTTTTTTTTCGATATAGAATAGACAAAAAAAATGCAAACATTTCACGACTAACTCTATGTAAACAATTCCTCTTATAGCAGTAGATGTTTTGGAGAATTTCACATGGCCAAACTGTTTGCAGTATTTAAAAGATCATGCTTGAAACTTTCAGAAACTGTTTTCATTTAGTTTTTTTTTTTTTTTTTACCTGTGCAAAATTTGGATCGACCAAAATAGGGAGAGGAAGTTGTAAACTTCTTCCTTGTCTTAATACCCACCTATTTGAAATATTTTTACAGGTAGGTAGGTACTTTATTTACGTCGCACTAGAGTTGCACAATGGGCTATTGGCGACGGTCTGGGAAACATCCCTGAGGAGGATTCGAAGACATGCCATAGCAATTTTGATCTTCTGCAGAGGGGATTGCTTCCCAGCTTTGGTAGTCCGACAACCTGCCCGTGAAGTCGAGCACTTTACGGTCAAACAGTTTAACGAGGACCGATACCGCGTCCCCTCGGTCCCTACGCAGGCTGATCAAAGAAGTCACCCAGCCGCTTACTGAGTGCAGCCAGTGATGCTTGACTTCGGTGTTCTATAGGGAACCGTGTCTTTACGATCAGTTGCGGGATATATATTTTTATAGGATTGTAATATTTATATATAAACGCTTTTAGATGTTAATTTGCGAGAGAAAAAGAGATGTTAATTTGCAAAAATTATTTCAATCGATGAAAATTTTGCACGATATTTGTTTTAAAAACTTCAAGCATGATCTATCAAATTGTACCGTGTAAAATCTTTCAAAACATTTACTGCTCAAAAAAAAAAAAAAAAAAAGGATTTGCATATTAATAAAAGATAAAAAGAAACCCAATAAAGTAACTAATTCAAGGTCTAATATCTCAATATATCAGAATCAATTACTTAATTCTTTAAAACAAAAATATAGTAAATTTTTTTTCTCCCTATTATCTGGGTTTATATAAACGTGAAGCCATATCTCGAACACTAGCGCTATCTTTTGTACAGTATAATATACGGTTCTCTGGCATACAAACTGCAGGTCATAAAAATATAAATGGCAAGTGAAGTAAATCACGGTATTTTCTTTTCTATATACACATTTTGCAGACTTAGCTTTGAGAGTTTTTTAAGTACGCTTTCAATTTCCGCCAAGACTCGAAAGCATTTTCGTGATGGTGGCAGCAGCAACGGGACATTTATTTTGTTCGTTAAAATATTCGCAGTCGCCTCCTGAACCACCAAAATCTCTGGCCTGCGTCAAAGCTCCTTTTACCAGCCATTTTTTGACTACAGGAAGACTGAAATGATAAACAATTATTTTAAATTTATGTATGTGTCACTTAAATCGAGAATAAAATAAATCTTTCTTTTATTGACTAGTTATTAAAGTGTTAGTTGAGTATTATTTCCAGCATCATTTTTTGACTACAGGAAGTCTAAAATTATTAACAATTATTTTAAATATATATGTGTCACTTAAATCAAGAATAAAGTAAATATTTTCTATTGACTGGTTATTAAAGTGCTAGTTAAATATTATTTTCAATACTATTTTTGACTTTTGACGACTGGAAACTAAAATAATAAACTATTTTAAATATATGTTGCGTAAATCGAGAATAAAAAAATATTTTTTATTGACTAGTTATTAAATTGTTAGTTAAGTATTATTTCCAGTACCATTTCTTGACTACAGGAAGTCAAAAATTATTAACAATTATTTTGAATATTTATGTGTGACTTAAACCGAAAATGAAATAAATGGTTTTCATTGACTTAATACTTCATTCACTTAAATCAAGAATAAAATAAATATTTTTATTGACTAATAAATATTAATAAACATATATGCATATCACTTAAATCAGGAATAAAATAAATATTTTTTATTGACTAGTAATTAAAGTGACAATTAAGCATTATTTCCAGTACTATTTTTGGACTAAAGGAAAACTAAAATGATAAGCAATTATTTTAAATATTTATGTGTTACTTAAACCGAAAATGAAATAAATAGTTTTCATTGACTAATTTAATATTATTAAATATATAGGTGTCACTTAAATCAGGAATAAAGTCAATATATTTTTATTGACCGCTAATTAAAGTGTTAGTTAAGAATTGTTTCCTGTACCATTTTTTGACTACTAGAAGACTAAAATTAGAAACAATTACTTTAAATATATATGTGTCACTTGAATCGCGAAAAAAAATAAATTTTTTTATTGACTAATATTATTTTAAATATATGTGAGTCACTTAAATCCAGAATAAAAGAAAAAAAATTTTATTGGCTAGTAATTAGTGTTAGCTAAGTATTATTTCCAGCATTATTTTTTGACTACAGGAAGTCTAAAATGATAAACAATTATTTTAAATATATATGTGTCACTTAAATCGAGAATAAAATAAATAATTTTTTATTGACTAGTTATTAAAGTGTCAGTTGAGTATTATTTCCAGTACCATTTTTTGACTACAGGAAGTCTAAAATTATTAACAATTATTTTAAATATATATATGTCACTTAAATCAAGAATAAAATAAATATTTTTTATTGACTGATAAATATTATGAAATATATAAGTAAAACACTTAAATCAGGAATAAAATAAATATTTTTTTATTGACTAGTAATTAAAGTGTCAGTTAAGCATTATTTCCAGTACTATTTTTGGACTAAAGGAAAACTAAAATGATAAACAATTATTTTAAATATTTATGTGTTACTTAAACCGAAAATGAAATAAATAGTTTTCATTGACTAATTTAATATTATTAAATATATAGGTGTCACTTAAATCAGGAATAAAGTCAATATATTTTTATTGACCGCTAATTAAAGTGTTAGTTAAGAATTGTTTCCTGTACCATTTTTTGACTACTAGAAGACTAAAATTAGAAACAATTACTTTAAATATATATGTGTCACTTGAATCGCGAAAAAAAATAAATTTTTTTATTGACTAATATTATTTTAAATATATGTGAGTCACTTAAATCCAGAATAAAAGAAAATTTTTTTTATTGGCTAGTAATTAGTGTTAGCTAAATATTATTTCCAGCATTATTTTTTGACTACAGGAAGTCTAAAATGATGAACAATTATTTTAAATATATATGTGTCACTTGAATCGAGAATAAAATACATTTTTATTGACTAATATTATTTTAAATATATGTGAGTCACTTAAATCCAGAATAAAAGAAATTTTTTTTTATTGGTTAGTAATTAAAGTGTTAGCTAAGTATTATTTCCAGCCTCAGTTTTTGACTACAGGAACAATAAAATGATAAACAATTATTTTAAATATGTGTACGTCACTTAAATCGAGAATAAAGTCAATCTTTTTTTAATTGACTAGTTATTAAAGTATTAGTTAAATATTCTTTCCAGTACCATATTTTGAAAGTTAAGTAATTTAGCTCGGTGGACAAAAGATAGTGTATGATAGTAAATACTCACTTTATGATATCTTCCACTACATCTGCTGGTGTAGTTGTTCCATCTCGTCCACTTGTACGTTGCTGATAACGTTTGGTGTTCCCCAATGAGCACAGCGCCATCTTCATGCATGATTCGCCATCAATATTGAACTGATTGAGAACACTGTTCACGTTATGGAAGAAATCATCGGCCCCACCACCTGAATAATCATAAAATAACACATTGAGTGAAAAAAAAAACATAATACAAAATAATTAAGAGACGACAATCCAATAGAGAAGATTACATACAAAATTAACAGCGTGAACATCATATACAAACAGGTTTTTGTATTCTGGGAATGTTATGCTTTGAGCTTACTCATTTTATTTCATTTTATAACCGACGTTGAACAGCCGACCATTTTTTGGATTTACTAAGATCATCACACAACCATGGCCAAACACCTAGCCCAATTTTTAAGGTTCTATCTCTTAACGGCCAAGGTAGGAATGTAATGCTATTTTGATTCTACTCTGACGACGTGGACAGTGACTGAACTGGCACCCATCTCTCCATCTTCCACACCACAACCAAGGAGAGGACTTTCAACCGCGACAGATTCAACGTGCACCTCAATGCTTTATCAAGCAGGTTGTTTTGTCGGCTGTAATGATCGAATTCACACCCCAGGCTATCCAACCAGCGGTTCGAGCGAAGCCTAAACCTACTGCGTTCCCGAAACTCTTCATATTTTACGACCATCAAGGTTAAACTTTGTTGCCTTGTAATTTTGAAATCAGAAGACCAAGAATCATGTCTTGCGACCATCAAGGTTAAACTCTACAGCCTTGTATTTTTGAAATAAGAAGACCAGGGATCATGTCCTATGACCATCGAGGTTAAATTCTGCTGCCTGTAATTTTGAAATCAGAAGACCAGGGATCCTATTTTACGACCATTAAGGTTGAACTCTGCAGCCTTGTAATTTTAAAATCAGAAGATCAGGGATTAAACATTTTGGAATACTTCCCTGCGTGGTGAATTTTTTGATGGAACTGACCGTTTTGTGTCACATAAAGAGGAAAACTACGAAAATTTCCCATGGTAAGGGTAAAATCTAGCATATGATCAATTTATCATTGAGGATATTTTAACGTCAGCAATGTCCTATTTTGAGCCGGAAACGAAATTCGAATAGATAAAAACTAATTAGAAATTCCATTAATATCGCAAAAATATTTAATAAGAGTGAGACAGTACAAGCCGTAAAATTGCATTTTTAAAATTTAATATTTAATTCCAGACATCTTTTTCATATAGACGTTCACAATACTCATTATATTGGGTTATTGGTACTACATTTTACACCAAGATTATGAAAATGCATAACGAACGTCCTGTTAAAAGAATGACCCATGTACAGAACCACATTCTAATGCTTAAAAAATTGCAAGCCTGTAAAGCTAATAATAAATTCCATCAAAATATTGATGGTCATTAACATAATAATTAAATAAAATTAAAACTATGAGCTAGTATATATTTTAAATTTTCATCAAAAAAAGCACTTACCATCTCTGAAAGTGTTGCTGTTGAGACTGAAAATATTGCTGACTTTCGGGTAGAGCAAGGCAGCAGTTACAGCCATTGCCGCCATGGTCGCCAGTCCACTACCAGAACCTGTACCAAGAAGATTTGAAGCAATAGTGCCGGTGCTAATGCTTGGAGATCCTCCGAAACCCAAGCCATTTCCAAACAATCCACTCCCAATGGATGGGCTTGCTAAAGCACTGAACATTTTGGCATATGGGACACTGAAGAAAGGCAACTTGAAATCCAAACCAACCTAAAATTAAATTTAAATTAGTGAGATTCGGAGCTATTAAAAAAGGAAAAATCAAACTTGTGACAGGGATAACGATTAGATTTTTCCCCCGAAAGGGAAAAACGAACAAGAACTGTTTACTTTCTTTTTAGATTGGTCGAAGTGTGCATACAGTTAGTTTAAGTAAAGAGCTCTCCTAGCCATTCGTCTAGAGTCGTGGTGGTAACTATGGTTACGAGGTTTAACTATTTCAAGTAGGGGTGTTGGGTTATTATTTAAGACAGGTTTTGACTCTGGTCGGCGAGCGAAAGGGAATCGAGGGAGAAAGAAGCTCCCCTCTATGAAATGTTCTATTTCTTGTTTCCATAGCAGTAGACGATTTTAGACTTCGTGGCGAGGGGAGCTCTTTCTAGAAGACAAACTATATATTTTACTCGTATAGAGATGTTATATTATGTTCGTGATTTTACTTTATGTGTTCATTTTTGTTTTATTGAATTTCTTGTGTTGCCGAAAAGGTATCTTCAATAATCCGTTTTAAGCTTAAACAGATCAAAATCCTTGCTAAATTAATTAAATATTATTTTAAATAGTTGAACCCAAAAGTCAATCCCAATGAAAATATTTTAAACATAAAATGCTACTATCCAAGTAAAAATTTTTGATGGTCTTCCATTGATGGACCAGCATCATGCTGATAGTAACCATCAATAATTCTATCATGAACCATTATATTTTTGATGATAACCAACATAAGTAACCATCACCCCAATGTAGGAATTCGGATTGATTTATGATGGTCCATCATAAGAAAACTAAATTGTTTTGATGGTATATTACTGAGAATCAACAAGAATATCCATTAATGGAATGCATAGTTCATGGAATGTATAGTTGAAACCATCATGGAATGTATAGTTGGAACCATCATGGACCATCACAGATCATCCTGGATTGTTGGTTCATGAGAATCAAACTTCTCTTGATGGGTAACCAACATAGTATTAATTTAGCATTTTCCATCATGGAATGATGGAAGTTTGTTGACATATTAAAAACCATGAATGCATAATGGAAAATGTTGGATGATGGGGATCATTAAATGATGTTGGGCCATTATGAATCACACTGAAATCAACATAAACCATCCAAATGTTTCAATGGGACCATCAAGCATTTTGACTTGGGTACACAAATAAATCACAAAATACTATACAAGTTTGAAATTTTGAAACATTCGTTTAATAAAGCTGTTGTAACTACTGAAATTTTGAACTACTGAACTGTTGTAACTACTGAAATTTTGAAACATTCGTTTAATAAAGCTGTTGTAACTACTGAAATTTTGAACTACTAAGCTGTTGTAACTGCTGAAATTTTGAAACATTCGTTTAATAAAGCTGTTGTAACTACTGAAATTTTGAACTACTGAACTATTGTAACTACTGAAATTTTGAAACATTCGTTTAATAAAGCTGTTGTAACACTAGCTGTTGTAATAATGTGACTTAAATGTCTAATTTCAGACCAGCAGATAGCAAACCTATTGATATAAGTTGAAAAATGATTCTTTTACTTTACTTTTTAACCTCTTTATTACCTCGTTCCACATATGTCGACCTTCACTTCTTAGCTTCTAAAAATACGCCATTAGAAAATTCATGATTTTATCCTCTCTGAAACATTCGCGGACGTTTAAGGTTTTTGGATATTCCAATAGATGGAGAACATGTTAAGTTATTTGGGTAGAATTTCACATGAACAGAAGTGATTTTCGAAAAATAACGCTAAATCCAGCTATTTTCAATCAATTAAATTGATTTCATTTCAAGTTTGATTAATTATAAAACGAGCAACTAGTTTCAATTAGTTAAAAACATTGATTAAGTATTTAATTTACTACAAAGCAATGGCAACTGTTTTCAATCAGTTGAAAATTTAATTACAAATTTGATGGATTACAAAGCAAGAAATACTTTTAATGTGTTTAAAAAAAATGATTATAAATAGAGCAACTATTTTTTAAATGATAACAAAGATTCGATTACACAGTTTGGAACTGTTCCCAGTTAAAAAGATTGATTACAAATTTGGTTGACTCGAAGGCAAACGATTATATTCAATTAGTCTTTTGTCTTTATTTTACTTAATTAAAGATATTGATTACAAAACTAGTAACTATTTATAATTAATTATAAGGATTAGTTATAAAGATTTTTTATAAAGCAATAGTGGCAAAAAAATAAAAAGTAAGTATAAATAAGATAAATTTCCAGACGACATAACGTTTCAAGTTTTTTCACTTTTTCTCTATAGATCTGCATAAAATTTTACTCTATCTAAAATAGAAGCGAGAAGAAAAAAAATTCAACTAAACATTATTTTCCCAAACTTATATGCATAAGAGCTAACATAAAAAAAAAAACTAGCCTCAGAGATTAGAATTGTTTTTTTTTTTTTCTTCTTCTTTTGGAAGCTTCCAATATTTCTACTTCAAATTCGATTTTCGGAAACTTTTTAAGGAGGGAAAAAAAGTGCTGAATTCAGCGTTAAAAACAATTTAAAAACCAGTGTGAAGGCTCAGTTCATAGAGATGGGGGGGGGGGAATCAGACTGCTAACTATTTATAGACTCTCAAGCCAGATATTTTCATCTAATTTATTCATAAGGGAGTATTTTTATTGGTTCGTTTTGAATCTCAAAAGCAAATGGACAAAAATATTTTGATTGTATTATAAAAAGATTTTGTGTGATTATTAGTAGATTTTATTATCTTTATGATAATTTAAATTATTCAGGGTGCAAATTTTTAAACGAATATATAAAAGGAAAGAAATATTATTAAATTGAAAAATGGAAATAATATTGAATAACTGGTCCTCAGTAAAATCTATTTAATATTCGCAATAGAAAATTTTAAAATATATATTTTTTCCCAATAATATTACATTAAATAAATTACTAAACGATATACATTTAAAAAAAATTTTATCAGTATCTCAAATCGAATTTTGAAATTCAAAATAAAATAACCAAATTCAAGAATAAAGAATTATTTTTCTCTGATAACGTGTCTCACAATATATAATGCCTCTTTTTCGAAAATAATAATTCAGCTTATTTTTATTCAATTTCAACTTAAACGGATAAAACTACCTATACTAACATATACAGCAAAAAACATAACCTCAACAGGCTTGCGAATGACATAAAACCTAATTTTAGGACTCATTGATGAAAGATTGAAAAATTTTCATTAACATTAAATGTTTCTTAAATTAAAGTTGAATTTTTTTTTTGTTAATTTATTTATATGTAGCAGTAAACAAATTTATTTTAGACAAGTTTTATGTAGCTAATATTTTAAAAGAAAAAAAAACGTGTATATATATATATATATATATATATAAAGAGAGAGAAAACGAAAAAAATTAATAAGTTTTATAATATCTTATTTTTATAATATTTTATTTATAACTTCGCAATTATTATAGTAATATTAATTTTAATTTTTTGGATTTGGGTAAAAAAGAGGAATATATTTGCTTTGTTGATTTATACAATAAAAGAAATTATTTTAAATTTAATATAAATAAACTAATTACTTGGAATTCTAATTTTTCAAAAAACAGCTATTTAAATGCCATTTTTATTTAAATGAATAGAATTAAAAGAATATGTAATAATGTTTATTTTTCCAAAAAACAGATAGATAAACTCTTTCAAAATTTTATTTAAAAAAAAGGAATAGAAACCCAAGCAATTATATTCTATATTAAATCATTGAGTTAATTGTATGTTATTAATAAATTTATTAAAAGCTTCTTTGTTAATTTATATTTTAAGTTACACCTTAGTGAAAATCCTTTAACGTTAGCTACTAAGTAAACAGAACTGCAAAATAAAAATAAAACATAACACTTCGCTTTTTCCTATTCATTTAAAATAAACTGAAATATATAACGCTATCTAAAAATAATTATACCGACAGCTCAACGCTAGTGATGTTTCCTTATCAGAACAATAACCTAACCTCTAATTTATTTAATAAGGCTGTTTATGAGTTCCCGACAATGAATTTGCTAGAAAAAACAATTTTACCCTCGAAAACGAGATCATCGCACTGTATTCAAATTAGCATTATTTTTTTTAAAAAACGAACGAGTTAAAAAAAAACTGAAAGAGTTAACGAACGCTGTATTGCCCTGGGCTTTGTGTCAGTAATACGCTACTGTTTAAATGACGTAAGAAATGACTGAGCAGGTATTAAATAAGGTTGTTATTCTGAGACTTTATTGATTTCCAGATACTAGATGAAAACAAATAAATCTAAAATAGCATACTAATTTTTTTTTCTTTTATGATTTTATATTATTTTATCCGTCGTTGAACAACCGACCCAATTTTGGGCTTACGACTACTAATGTTCAACTCCATAGCCTTGTCATTTTAAAACCAATCCAGAAGACAAGGAAACTCCTGGATCAGTACCCCCAGAGGTATTGATTTGTTGTGGGAACATGGAGGACTTTGAGACTCGACAGATTTAACGTGCATCAGTCACCATTTACTACACGGGGAGTCTTCGGCCGGCGAGGATCGCACCCACGACCTCTTGGATATGGACCCAGCGCCCTACCGACCAGGCTATCCCGGCCTTTTCTTTTATGATTGTATATTTTTTTTACAATTACATTTTATCACTTTCGTTGAACAGCCGACCCAATTTCGAGTTGACCAATGGTAATTTTGAGCTCAGCCTAGAAGACAAGAAAACTCCAGGGTCACGTTTTGGGAAAAATGTGCGCTTGTGGAGGACTTTTCGATGGAACTTATCCTAATTTACGTTTCATGGGAAGGAAAAATACGAAAACCTCCCATGGTTAGTCTGACGGCAATGGGACTCTAACCAATGATACCACTGAAGATATTTTGCTTCAGAACTGTGGTCAGAGGGAACAGGGTGCGGAATTTGCAGCGACCAGTCACCTCTGGGATTCGAACCCAGTCATCACGTTGGAAGGCGTGTGCTCAACCCCTTGAGCAACCATGTCTGATGATTGTATATTTCATTTTATTTTATAACAGTCGTTGAACAGCCGACCCAATTTTGGGTTTACGACTACTAATGTTCAACTCCATAGCCAAGTTATTTTGAACCAATCCAGAAGACAAGGAAACTCCTGGATCAGTACCCCCCAGAGTTTATGGGAACATGGAGGACTTTGTGACCCGACAGATCTAACGTGCATCAGTCACCATTTACTACACGGGAGTTTTCGTCCGGCGGGGATCGAACCCACAACCTGGTGGAGATGGGACTCAGTACCGTTCCAGCTAGGCCATCCGGACCATGATTATATATTGCAAAAAAGCACTTTTAGCCTCTTTTCATAATGTTTAACCATAATGCATTTCTTGTTCTTTACTCTCGCAATTTACGCGATTAGCATCGTTTGCGCAAATTAACAACCTTAATTCAAGTTAGTTAATACAGTCAAACGGTGAGCTAGGTTCAAATGGTGAGCAGGGTTAATATGGTTAATACCGCCAAATGGCGATATTTTAATAATCATCTTCCTATCATCCAAATTTATTCATTTGAGGGAAGTGAACGAAAAAAAAGCAATATTAAAGTTGTTTTTAATCAATTTTTGAAAATTTTCACAAATGAAACGATTGATGATTTACTGATTTCGGCAACTGTTTTTTTTAATCGTGTCAGATACAAGATTACTGTCCAATTAGAATACAAGAAGTATTCTAAATTTCCAGGATGTTCTTCGAACAAAATTACGCGAATGCAATACATCATTTTCAGAAAGGCAATTCAGAATTTCCTTAAAAATAACTTTACTTCCGCTTAATTTAAGTCAAAAGAAGTTTCGGTTTTCACCAATTTAAACGAAATGAAATATGTTTTTTTTTTTCAAAATATACTTTTACTTTTGCTTGCTCAGCATTGAATTATCTGTATAAAATTCTAAACACTTAATGTTATTGCTTTAAATGTTTGGGAAAATTTTTATATGTTGCTCCTCTTTATTCCCCATTTTTTTAAAGGTTTTGAGTTGACGATTTAACTTATGACGTAGATGCACAGGGTCCCTTTTATGTTTCTTTCCTGATGCTCTAATTACAAGCCCAAAAAAAATTTTGAAGGGGACAGAGCTCGCCTTCTAAGAAGGTAAACCGGGTTCGAATCCCAACGATAGCTGGCCGATACGAATTCCGCATCCAGCTCGCACTGACCACAGTGCTGACGTAAAATATTCTAAGGGGTATATGGTTCTTGGGTTAGAGCCCCTTATCATCAGACTAACCGTGGGAGGTCTTTGTAGTTTTCCTCTCCATGTAACGCAAATGTGGATTAGTTCCATCAAAAAAAGTCCTAGACGAAGACAAACTTCTCCCAGTACTTGATCTAGGAGTTCCATTGTCCTCTGGATTATTCAAAATTACAAGGCTACGGAATTGAACATCAATAGTCGTAAATTCGAAATTGGGTCGGCTGTTCAACGACGGTAATAAAATAAAACAAAATATAAAAATATAGTCTAAGAGTTACTAAAAAAATCTGCTATATTATTGAAATTATATTTGTTCTAAAGTATAAAATCCAAACAAAATCATTATCAATCAATCTTACCAAATCAATCTATCAAAAGCAATCTTTACCAAAATCAATACAAATACATAATCTTAATAGTAAATAGTAGTTTGTGAATAAAGGCGAAGGGAGGCAAATACGTTATGTATTTTTATCTGTGCTAGCTTTGCTACATTGAACTTTCTATAAACGGGAAAATACCTCGACATCACCAAAAGTACTGCGTTAAAGCCGGAGTTACTAGCAGTGCCACCTACATTGTGGCGCTGCTAGTAACTCCGACTTTAACATGGCGCCACCTTCATACTGAATACCAAGGATTAAATTATTAATAAGTGACTGATAGATTAACGCAGGGAATTATAAAGTTATGATGCGTCGAATCCATTTAATTCTAAAAGTTCCCATTTTATTCAAACTCTTAGTAGCCATTTTGCAGTCTGCCAAAGAGAAAACAATGCTTTCAGCTTGTACAATCGTTAAGTAAGTTTTTCTCAGTGGTGACTACATTGATATTTTAATATAAAAATCATCTTTTTTAAAGTTAAAAATAATTATATTATCCATGACGATAAATTAATAATTCAAGTATAAGTATATAAGATGTACTGCCATGATACCTCCCTTATAGAGCGATATCACTCTTAGCATGGAGTTAGTAGTAGCGCCACCTACATTTCATTTTTAAAACAATGTAGGTGGCGTTACTAGTAACTCTATAGTACGGAGGAAGCTGGATCGAATCCCACAAGAACTCCGGATGCGTATTTGTGATGTTTTTCTCTAATCTGTGTAATTTTATCATTATTTTTTTTTTGTTAATTTGATAAGGGATTATAAGCCATCTCTCTCGTGGCTCCCAATAGTCGAATGAATTGCGAACTTCCGTAAATACAATGTAAACCTCTCTGGAGCGACCATTCTCCGTTCCACAGTAAAATGGTCATTGATGGAGGTTGGGCGTTATCAGAGGTTACCTCCATTGACTTCAAAATTGTTATTGAAGGTACATGATTTTTTTGTAAACGATTATAATTGTAGTCAGTGTCGTTTTCTTAGAGTGGAAATGCTACTTCTGTTAGCGTAAAGGCGGGTCGGGGAATAAAATATAGCCTCTATAAAAATGATCCCAATTGATATCACTATGTGTAAAAACAAATTTAGCAATTATGAATATTAAAGCTATTTTAAATAAATAAACAATTATGTTTTTTTGTTTTAGTTTGCATTTAATTTTATAGCCTAAAAATTAGTCAATTTTTAAAAGATGACAAGAGTTTTGTTTGTTTCCGATGCTTGTTTTTTCTACAATAACTTTTTTTTCTTCCTATCTAACTTTCAACTCTAAAAGTAAATCATTGATAGCTTAGCGTACTCTGCTGACTGCAACATGAGGTTGAATCATCAAAAAGAGCTCTCTTAAGAATATTTTCAATACATTTTAATCTACTTAATTTGTCTTAATTTGTCATTTTTTGTTTTTATATTTATTCGTGTTTTCTTTTATGACCTTTTCCGCATTTGGTGCAGAAATTTTCCCGCTCGATTGGACAGGTTTTGATGGTCTATCCTAAAGGTTTTCTTCAACTCGAAGTGTACGGAAAAAAATTCTGTGCCTTCCAAAAGTGGTCGTAAATAGAGGGTGTCTCTGCATACAGGTGGCCTATCCTGGAGGTTTCACTGAATTTTATTCATTATCGTTTTCCCTTGCAATAGTCATATAAGTCAACCAAAGAATTCCTTATATATAAAGTGGTAGTGAAATGACAATTAGATTAATTTAAATTTGTTTACTTTTGCCAGCATTTAAAACCTCCCATGCGCGGCTATCAAATATTACCTATCTGTTTTATTTTTTTTTTGTTATGATGGTAAATGATCACAACTCTTTATTAAACAAAAATAAAACGGTTTACTACGCTTAATTTACTCAATAAGATTCTCCCTTAAGTACGAAAAAAGTTAGCTTTCATGAATGAAATACTGAACACGAATTAATAATTCTCGTATTAAATAGTATATTAAAGTTTTCGTGATAATATTCAAAAAAAAAATTTCGAAACTTTTTAGTTCATAAAGAACAGACTAGACAGCAGACTATAAAATCCTTTTAAGAAAAATAATAATAGAAAAGAAAAAGATAATTATTTTTCCCATTTTTTTGTTGATGATCTTTCTAAATTTATGAACAGCAGAAAAAACTTTCACAAATGCATACCTGCATTCCATCGCTTCCGAAAGTTGGCAACAGTGAAAGCAGACGATTTTCATCGATAGCCGAGGCAGCAGACGATGCTTGGCTAAACCTGTCCTGTGTTTCCTCGTAGGGGGAAGAAATTACGTAGGCGGGCTGGTGCGTCCTGGGATCTTGCTGTTGAGAAGATCCTGGGAAAGTAAAGACTCTGCCTTTGCGTCCATCTTTGGGTGTAATTTCCTTAGCTGCGTCCACGGAAGAAGATTGGCGGCCTTCAGCTCCGATTGGCGTTGGTTCTCCAAATAAAACTTTTTCTTCCGAGAATGCGGTGTGCAAAACAGCAAGTGAAATTAAAGAAAGAATGTATGTAGCCTTCATTTCAAAGCGTTTCTGGAAGAAGAAAAAATATTACTATTGAATCAATAATTAAAAATGTTACATTCAAATTTTTACTTACTGTTAAGTTTTCGTTTCATTATAGTTTTTTTAATTGATTAGAATAAAAGTAAGTTAAAAATACGATAATGCAGCTACTTCACTTTGTAGATTTTTCTTTTATTTTTATGTACGGTGTATGACAATAATCACCGATGTTTGTAGGTAATATCCTCCAACGCCTGAGGTTTTAATGAAATAATTTATCCAGTGGAAATGAAGAAAAGTAGTAATTTGCAAAAACAAGTAGAATTTCTATAAATCTTTTTTATCGAACTTAAGAACATAGCCAAACTTACCATTTGACCTATCCTATGTATGTTTAAAATATTTATGTGTAGCGGTGGGTTGCATTTTTTTAAAATTTAGATAAAATAAAATATTGCTACTAAAAGTAAAAATAATTTTTGAAACTACGGAAATTTCGTAATGTGTTGCAGGATATGGCTTATAACGAACAAAATATTACCTATACAATAAAAAATTTTACTCTACTGATAAAGATAGATCACAAGCATTTTTTCATGCAAAAAAGTCACACATAGTCTGGAGAACGTGGTGGCCATGAAAGAGGTCTGTTGTCGTTGTCTAATCCATCGACGAAGAAACTCGTTATTTAGGAAAACATAAACGTCTGTCAGATAAAGGAAAGGGCATCTACGTTGAAAATTGGTCAACGGATAATCTGCAGTTGTGGTATTAACCACAACTGCAGCACATTAAAGTTGCCCAACCGTATTTCCCACCATTAATCGTAACATGTTTGCAGTGAGTGGAGCAAAAATTTGCTGCATCTCAATTAGTTAAGATATTGATTTTGTTTTTTTGTTTTTTTGGAAAAAAATTTTGATGTTTCTACAACTATGCATTAATTATTTTTATCACGCTCTAAGAAAGAATGTATATTTTTAAAAAAATAATCATTGAACAATATATTTAGTTATATGTCATTGTATGTTTGAAATTCTTTACAGATTTTAAGTTCAAAATAGAGATAACCGTATTATTGATACAGGAAAAAAATATTTCAATATTTATGCATTACGATTTGCTGCTGAGTTGCGTAATATAAACAATTTGTACTTTTTATGCTAAAATTTGCCTTTGTTTTGGAAGAAGTATTTAATAAATTTCTAAAATTTACTTCTTATTTGCGATTTTAGGATCCTTGCTTACCAAAAATTCTACTAAATTCGAATTTCCTTTGGAATGGCCTTGTTGAAAAGATCAAAAACAAATCATTTTCTGCTATAATTAATAAGCTCTCATCATCTTTGAATCAAAATTAGATATCAAACTAAAACGACTAATTTTTAATTCGAATACCAGACCAATACTCATTGTATGCATCACCAGATATCAAACATATGCAAAATTAGATATCAAACTAAAACGACTAATATTTTTTTTCGAATATCAGACCAATGCCTATATATGCATCACCAGCGTGGGAATATGTTTCAAAAACGCAAACGAAGAAACTTGTCACTTTCCTAAATAAAGTTCTGACAAAATTAACTAAATCAAGATGGTTTATACGAAAGCAAGACCTCAAAAAATCTCTTAAAATAGAGCGATTTGACAACCCCGTTGCCAAATTAAACCATAATTTTTTTGGACAAAGCTCTAAAGTGTAGTACAGCAAATTTTAATAATATTTTTCAGTACCAGAACCAAGAAAACGAGAATTTCATTAAATCTATCTTTTTCGTTGATAGGACATATTCAAGACATCAAATTTATATAAAAAAGAAAATAAAAGTTGTGATCGACTTATTACGATCACTGGTCAACCATTGGTCAAGTGCTTTTTCTTTCTGAATTGACTCCTCTAAACGCGACAACATTTCAAATCATGGATTGCAAAAGCTGTCTCCATTGATGTTTGTCGTCGGATTGGTTTTCAAATCCTGCCTATGTACGTGTCTCAAGACGTCACAAAATACTTTTCCTTCTTCAACATTCATATTTATATTAAAATCACCGTCAAGACAGTAATTATACGTTAATAATAAAAATAATATAAAAATACTTCAAATTATTACTATGTAAATGCATTAAAAATGCCTGCCAGTGAAAATGAAAAGAAAAACAGCAGCGGTTGCCATAGCAACGCATGCAATGACGACGCATGCGCAGTGCAGCAGGATATATGTGTGGCTAAGGTACAGAGTTACTTTTTACTAGTGGAGTAAAGTGAATAAAAATTAGACACCCACTATTTGAAGTTGTTGCGAATTAATTTTTTTTTTAGTGGAAGTAAACTAAAATAGAACATTTTTAAACAAGTAGATCATTCAAAAAAAAAAATTCTTGGAACTAATTCTTCTCATATGTATGTGATTAAATTACTTGTATATGAAAGGCGAACACAAAATTCTTTTAATTCTTATTGATTAAAATTTAACTCATAACCCTTGCAACCACTAGGAAAAATGTTTTCTGAAACAGCGGAGAATCCCTAGTAGTTAGTTCTATCGAGTGAGAATTCATTCATCTCTTGGCAATACGCCAAATTGAAATAATAGGAGGTTAATTCTTTAACAGAGAAATAAAAATGTAATTTAAAAGGATTAGAGAACTTTCTTTACCGACTGCAGAATATGGAGATAAAGATATTAAATATTTAAAAAAAAGAATATAATATTTATGTATGTGATTGAAACTTTACATGTGAATAAAAGTGATTGCATTAGTTTTTTTGCAGTGAAAAGGAATGTTGCAGCTGCGCGAATGTTAGTAATATCATATTGGAGAATAATCTCAAATAATATGAAATTTATTTAACAGAGAAAGAAATGTATTAGAAGGATTATTTTTTTTTCTTCAGTAGCGGCATAAGAAGATGAAGATTAACATATTAAATAATTTGAAAAAAAAAATTAAGTTTGTAAGAAGTTTTTTTCAAAAAAATAGAATATTTAAAATAATACATGAAATTGCAAAAAATGTGATTAAAAGAGATATGGTAATTAGAGATAAAATAGCTTGTTTAAAAGTTTAACAGTGAAAAGAACACTGGCTTTTTCGTAATATAGCTGCAAATTTCAGTAGTTTTTTATAAAGAGATTTTTTTTTTAAATTTGTTATAGGCTGGTATTCTTTTTATTAAAAAAAAGATAATACAATAATATATATAATTGAGGATTTAAGCAGAATTATACGAGATTATAAGAGATGTGATTAAGTGAGATCAAAAGTGATTATAAGAGATTAAATAACTGATTTAAAATTTTAACACTAACAGAAACACAGGCGTTTTCGTAATGTAGCTGCAAATTTTAGTAGTTTTATATTACAAGATTTTTTTTAATTTGTTAAAAGTTTTAATCTTTTTTATTAAAAAAAGAGAATTCAATAATATATATAATTGAGGATTTAAGCAGAATTACATGAGATTATAAGAGTTGATGATTATAAATGATTATGAGAGATTAAATAACTGATTTATTTAACAATGAAAAGAACACAGATTGTTTCGTAATATAGCTGCAAATAGCAGTTTTATATTACTGAACTTTTTTAATGTGTTCAAAGTTGGTATTCTATTCCTAAAAAAAGGAGAATACGATAATATATCTAATTGAGGATTTAAGCAGAATTATATGAGACTATAAGAGATGTGATTAAGTGATTATAAGAGATTAAATAACTGATTTAAAATTTTAACTGTGAAAAGATCACAGGCTCCTTCGCAATATAGCTGTAATTTTTAGTAGTTTTATATTGCTAGATTTTTATTTTTTATTTTGTTAAAAGTTGGTATTCTTTTTATTAAATAAAGGAGAATACAATAATATATATATAATTGAGGATTTAAGCAGAATTGCATGAGACTATAAGAGATGTGATGAAGTGATTATAAGAGATTAAATAACTGATTTAAAATTTTAACTGTGAAAAGAACCCAGGCTCTTTCGAAATATAGTTACAAATTTTAGTAGTTTAATATTGCGAGGTTTTTTTAAAAAATTTGTATAAGGTTGGTATTCTTTTTATTAAAAAAGGAGAATACAATAATATATATAATTGAGGATTCAAGTAGATTTACATGAGATTATAAGAGATGTGATTAACTGATTATAAGAGATTAAATAACTGATTTGAAATTTTAACAGTGAAAAGAACACAGGCTCTTTCGTAATATAGTTACAAATTTTAATAGTTTAATAATACGAGGTTTTTTTTTAAAAAAATTGTATAAGCTTGGTATTCTTTTAATTAAAAAAAGGAGAAAACGATAATACATTTAATGGAGGATTTAAGCAGAATTACATGAGATTATAAGAGATGTGATTAAGTGATTATAAGAGATTAAATAACTAATTTAAAATTTTAGCAGTGAGAAGAACACAGGTTCTTTCCTAATATAGCTGCGAATTTTAGTAGTTTTACAATACGAGAATTTTTTGTTTAATTTGTAATAAGCTGTAATCTTTTTTATTAAAAAAAGGAGAAAACGATAATACATTTAATGGAGGATTTAAGCAGAATTACATGAGATTAAAGAGATGTTATTAAGTTATTACAAGAGATTAAATAACAGATTTAAAATTTTAACAGTAATCATGCACTTTCGTATTATGGCTGCGAATATTAGCTGTTTTACATCCAATAATAGGAGAATAGCTAGCTTACTCTAGTAGGAGATTAATTATTTACGAAGATAGTGATGGAAAGAAGATCACAGAACTTTTCTTACCGTCTGCGTCAACTGAAAGGTGAAGATGTGTTTTGACCGTGTCCTAAAAAGAGAATAAGAATACGAAGAAAGAGTGACCGACTTTTTATAGGTTAGCATAGTTTTCATTTCAGCTTTCGATTTTTTTTATAAAGTTTCCCCAATTGGCAACACCCATATCGGAGGGAAAACCGTCTGCCCAAACGAAGAGGATTTCTTTTTTTTTTTTTTTTTGTTCTTTTAGAATAAAATCCGGCACAGTTTTTTTCTTCTGATTTGCTCCACGTTTCTTTTCCTAATTAACTATTTTCTTCTGAGTGACTCAATGTTCAAAAAAAAAAAAAAAAAAAAAAAAAAAAAAAAAAAAAAAAAAAAAAAANAAAAAAAAAAAAAAAAAAAAAACGAAAGTAAATACTTTTTGTTTCGTTTGAAGTAATTACTTTTTCTTTTTTTTTTTTTCGTTCCGTTTCTTTCAATGTGGAATCGGAATATTTCTCACTTTCCAGAAAATTCCTTTTTTTTTACCAAGTTAAAAAAAAAAAGGGGGAACAGTGGCTATGTTTTTAATCAAATGGAAAAAGTGGTTTCTTTTGTCTTTTACAAGATATCAAACATCAAAAGCTTGGTGGTACTTTCGTCTTTTTATATGATTTTTTTACGTCAACTATTAATCAAATATATTTTTTAAACTTAATAATGCCATTTCTTAAACAGGATGAAATATTTTATTTTTCTGCGAATAGTTTCGATAGATTTGGAAAAGGAGCTAGTTGGGATATTTCATGGCAAAGTGGCAAAATTAAAAATGTATATGCTTATAGTTTTTAAGATTATTAACTCAAGATTGTTTTTAGACCATTATTCCATTAATTATTCCATTTTTTTTTTTTTTAAAGGAAGATAACTAAAAAAAAATTTGAAAAAAGTATGCATTCAAATCAGTTTATCTAACAATCAAAATGAAAATAAACGTTCAAGTTTTAATGAACAAAAATTATTAGATTTGTGTAAAAACAAAGGCTTAGCTTTTTTGGCAAAAAAACTGTCCAATCTCCCTCTGTTTTTCTGGGAATGAGCCAAGTATTTCTTACATCTCACGATAAAGAAGTAAATACAGACGTACATGGAAAGGTAATTTTTAAAATATAACGAGTAAAAGTACAAGTACTTAGACTAAGAGTAACAATTAAAATATTTCGATTTTGAAAAGTAACATGTGTAAAGTAAAAAGTTTCGATTTTGAAAAGTAATGAGTAAAAATCACAAATACTTTGAGCAAAAGTAACGAGTAAAAAGTAAAAAGTTTTGATTTTTAAAAGTAATGCGTGAAAAACACAAGTACTTTGAGCAAAAGTAACGAGTAAAAAGTTTTGATTTTGAAAAGTAACGTGTAAAAAGTACAAGTACTTTGAACAAAAGTAACGAGTAAAAAGTTTATGATTTTGAAAAATAATGAGTAAAAAGTACAAACAATAATACAAGTACAGAACAAAAAAAATAATTACGATTTTAAGGTACTACATTGCGAGTACTTTAAACTCAAAATAGTCTTAAATTTCACTCAGAAGTGTAGGAACAAAGTATTAAAATTTTAATTTAAGATGTATTAAATTTTAACTTAAATATAGAAATTTTAAAATTTATTAATATGTTACAGAATCAATTAAAATACTCCGGTTTGAAACAAGAAATCAAAATCCTATGTTTGCATATAATAAAAAAATCAAATTAAGCACAATTTTCTGTATTTTGAAACTTAAATATTGAATATTTTCAATTTTGTGTCAAAATTGTTTTCGTCATTTTTATAAGAGAAAAAAATATATATTTTTAATATTTCTTGCCATTTTTTTAAAAAAAAAGTTTATGTTTTTAAGTTACTCCGTTTCTGGTAATGGACAAAGAAGCATCATATGCCCAAAGGCTTATAAAAAAAAAAAGAGATACAGGTTTGTTTTATAAAAAGGAAAAACAGGATCTTTTTTTAAAGAAAAAAGAGGCGTAACAAAAATTCAAAATACGAAGACATCAATTAGACATCCAACAATGGAAAAGTAGACAAAAGAAATGGAAAAGTAGACAAAAGAAATGGAAAAGTAGACTAAAGAAATGGAAAAGTAGACTAAAGAAATGGAAAAGTAGACTAAAGGAATGGCAAAGTAGACTAAAACAAAACAAAAACTAAATAAATAAAGGTGAATAAAGCACTGATGAAAATACATAAATTCACATACCATAGCTTCAGTTCTAATAACAAGAATATTCTATAGAACTGAAACTAGATTATGTCAATTCTGCTTTATTCAAGTTGGGATTTGTTTGGTTTAATCGATAAGGCATTTTAAGATACATTTTATTTGTAACTTTAACAAACAATTTTATATCAGGAAAGATATGCCGACTGTCAAACCGAAAGATCAAACCGAATTCCTAATTTTTATAAAATCGGCTTTGAACAGCCCAATTTTGGATTCTAATGTTCCACTCCGTAGCCTAGTAATTTTGAACACAATCCAGAACACAAAGGAACTCCTGCATCAAGCATTAGGAGAAATTTACCTTTGTGGATGACTTTTTGACGGAGCTAACCCACATTTGCGTTACATGGAAAGGAAAACCACGAAAACCTCCCATGGTTAGCTTGATGGCAAGGAACTCTAACCCATGATCCGTCTACCACTGAGGATATTTTACGTCAGCACTGTGGTCGGTGCCAGCCGGGTGTGGAATTCGAATCGACCAGCCATCGGTTGGATTCGAACCCGGTTCACCTCATTAAAAGGCGAACGCTCTATCCCCTGTGCCACCACGGCTCAACCGAATTCCTTTGTCCAATCGTTCCCTTTCTCATGCTTACCGGCTAATATACTATGGAATATTTCTAAAAAGACAAAGCAGCTGAATCTCACTCTCGCATAATATACAAGATGTCGAAGTAGACAGTAACGACCATGTATTATAGCTTTCAAGTATTTAAAAGTTGGATGAGCTATTTGTATGAAAATAGTACATAACACATGTATGAATGACCGAAATTGGTGGTTGTTGACTTCCACCGGTGAATGTTGACAATCACCAAGTCGCTTTGGTGAATGTCCGAAACATAATATACTACGTCTTGTTAAAGGCCTCTGCCTAGTACACATTTTCCCGGTATGATCAATATTTTTGTAAGGTCAAGTGCCATTGCCCAGTATGGATTTAACCGGCACTCCGAACACTGATGTTTCGCCTAATATATCCTCAGCAGATATTAAAATATATCGAATAAATATAATAATATCATCGAATGAATTAATATCAAATAGGATATGATAATGATTTCGGTTATTCACCAAAGCGACTGTGTGATTGTTGACATTCACAGGTGAAAGTCGACATTCTCCTGATTTCGGTCATTTATTGTAACATGTATACATTTTAATTAGCTTACTGTATTTCAATGTAGATTTTCCCCTGTTCTAAAACTACTTTCTTTAGAACTTTCTGAGATGAACAATTTTCTTTCATCATTCCAGATACTCATGCCGTCTATTATCATTTACTCATAGAAAATAGATAATACTTGTTGTTACTGGAATTGTCAATGACTCAATAAATTTTTCAGTAGTCAATAAGTGATCGAAAGAGCCACCTTCCACCTTTCAGGAAATAGTTGGTCTAAAAAAAGGAGTTATCTATTAAAGAATTATATATATA